CTCTGCCCTACCCTAATGGCCGTCCCTGCTCTACCCAAATGCCCGTCCGTGCCCTAACCAAATGCCCGGCCCTGCCCTTCCCAAACGCTCATCCCTACCCTACCCAAATGTCCGTCGCTGCCCAACCCAAATGACGTCCCTACTCTATCCAAATGACGTCCCGTCCCTGCCCTACCCAAATGATGTCAATGCCCTACCAAAATGACTTCCCTGCCCTACCCAAATGACGTCACTGCTCTACTCAAATGACGTTCGTGCCCTACCCAAATTCCCGCCCCTGCCCTACCGAAATGACGTCACTGCCAAACCCAAATGACGTCGATGCCCTACCCAAATTCTCGCCCATGCCCAACCCAAATGACGTCCCTGCATGATTAAATCCATCTAGATTTTACAGATTTCAGACTCAGAATATCATTGAACGATAAAAATAATAATATATACGCAAACAAATGAACATATCTTTAATCGTGTTGTACTTATCTGAACATCTGACTTATCTGACTTGAAGTGTTAAATGTCACTTATATTTCATATTTATGTTACCTGTGTCTTATATGTTACCTGTGTTTCATTTTTTACCTGTATCTCATGTTATCAGTGTCTCTTATTTACCTGTGTCTCATATGTTACCTGTGTCTCATTACATGTGCCTCATATGTTATCTGTGTTTCATATGTTAACAGTGTCTCATGTCTGTTAAGTAATGACTAATTTATGTTACATACATTGCCTAGGATTAAGCGGGCTGCCACCTTATTACGTTGACCCCATTGATACCTACGGACCACGATCTTGGGGTGAAACCTACTCAAGAAGAATTGTTAGGAAGCAAAGTAAGATTTTTTTGGGTTTGTTTTTTATTTTTTTAATGGCAAAGCTGTTTTGTATTTTGGAGTGAGGTGGGAGGTTGGTGATGGGGGTTGCGGGATGGGGGAGATTTTATGAGCAGAGGGGAGGGTGGGGTTTGCCTTTTACAGATTGCAGACTATGTAGAGTTAATTTTTGTTTTGAACAGTTTTAAGACCTTTTTAAATCCTAACTGTGTTGCTAGACGATCACCTGTAGAATATAACAGAAGTCTACTTCATTCGACCTTTAGTCTATTTCGTTGTGTGAACTCTTCCGATCCAATACACCTTCATTCAATCAAACAGAACTTCATCTACACACATCAAACAGATTTCGGTCTCCGTGACACCAACCAAGTGACGTCATTAGGCCTCACGCCTCTAGGGGGCCTCACGCCTCTATGGGGCCTCACACCTTTAGGTGGCCTCACGCCTCTAGGGGGCCTCACGCCTCTATGGGGCCTCACACCTTTAGGTGGCCTCACGCCTCTAGGGGGCCTCACGCCTCTATGGGGCCTCACACCTTTAGGTGGCCTCACGCCTCTAGGGGGCTCACGCCTCTATAGGGCCTCACACCTTTAGGTGGCCTCACGCCTCTAGGGGGCCTCACGCCTCTAGGGGGCCTCACGCATCTAGGGGGCCTCACGCCTCTAGGGGGCCCCGCTCTAGGGGCCTCACGCCTCTAGGGGGCCTAACACTTCTAGTGCAATTAATTTGCTTATATTTTTAGTGAAAATTGAAAGATGTTTAGCAATATAATTTTCTTTTAAAGTGCAATGGGAAGCAGGTTTCCCAGGTTTTTGTGAACAAGTTTGACGGGTTAGGCATCAATTCCATTTTTGGGGTGTTTAGTTTCAGAAATAGAGATCTAGATCAATTTTTAAAAAGAGCCTCGAATTTCTTGGGCGGGGGGAGGGGGTAGGGGGTTGAAATGTGTTGGAGTAAACAAAACATTTTATAATAAGCGACATTTGTTCATTAATGAGTCATTTATCTGAAGAATGTTATGGTCAGATCTGCATTCAAATCAGTCTGGACACAAAAACAAATATGATAATATAAGATAGTATTCTATCATGTGATACGTGTATATGACTGCAGACACATTACTTATGGCATTGTACACATGAGATTATTATCTATTTCAGTTGGAAGGAGAGTGGTAAGTTGAAATGTTTTGTACAGGGCGTAGTTAAATAGAGTAATGTAAGGTTTGATTTATATTGAACACTACTTCTTCCGTTACCTAGAATTCACGCATTTATATCTCCTGTGTTGTAGTAGTGGCTTGATCACAATTGTGTGCTGTTTAATTATGTATACCATTACTGCTATAAAAGTATAAGGCAGATTCAATAGATTGCATCACTATATATTTTATTTGCACAATACGATACACAACCAGAAATAAATCTCCACGCTGGAGTAACATAATTGTCATTATCTTATACACTTCACGTATTTCTTAATACACTCAAATGGACGATAGCTAGTCCGATACTAAGAGATACTGACTTGCTAGAGCAAAACCTTCATAACTCCAACATCATCTTGATCATTCGAATACCTTCCACACACTCACTTTCTGCCAATCTGCGCATGAAATCCCCCCCCCCCCCAACAAAAAAACAAAAAAAAAAAAAAATCTTTATTTAATAGTAAACTACGAAACAATTCATTATTGTGATTATCAATCTGTTACAAACAATATTTATTAACACTAAACTCTATACCAGAGTGCGCTAAACTCTATCCCAGAGTGCACTATACTCTATTCCAGAGTGCACTTTAAGCTACTCCAGATTGCAATATTCTATATCCCAAAGTGCACTAAACTCTATCAGAGAGTTCACTATACTCTATCCCAGAGTGCACTATGTTCTATCACAAAGTGCACCATACTCTATCCCAGATTTCACTACTCTATCCCAGAGTGCACTAAACTCTTTACCAGAATGCACTAAACTCCCCTTCCTATTCTCTATCGCAGAGTGCACTAAACTCTATCCCAGAATGGACTAAACTCTATACCAGAGTGCACTATATTCTATACGAGAGTGCACTAAACCCAATACAAGAGTGCACTAAACTCTATACCAGGGTGCACTATGCTCTATCCAAGAGTGCACTATGCTCTATACCAGAGTGCACTAAACCTCCCTTCCTATTCTCTATCGCAGAGTGCACTAAACTCTATAACAGAGTTGCACTATACTCTATCCCAGAGTGCACTATAAACTATCCCAGAGTGCACTATATTCTATACCAGAGTGTACTAAACTCTATCCCAGAGTGCAATATTCTATATCCCAGACTGCACTAAACTCTATCACAGAGTACACTAAACTCTATCCCAGAGTGCACTAAACTCTATCCCAGAGTGCACTATACTATATCCCAAAGTGCACTACACTCTATCCCAGAGTGCACTAAACGCTATACCGGAGTGCACTATGTTCCATACCAGAGTGCACCAAACTCTATCCCAGAGTTCCCAGAGTGCACTATTCTCTATACCAGAGTGACATCAACCTTAGCTACGCCACCAGTACTAACTTCCCAAATGTGCAAACCTTACACAGTTACATACAGCTCCGAAATGTGCTGATCTCACACATAGTTCTCACATGCATCTGTTACTGTCTACTCTTTGATTCGTTTTTGTTGTTTTTTGTTGTGTGTCTTTATGATCAAATTGTTTAAGTTTTATTTTATTTTACCTTTTATTTGGGAAAGGATTTTTTCAAAAATAATATTTTATTTTTTTATTTTTTTTTTGTATAGGAAATGAACGTCTTGTATTGTCTACGTTATTTTGGAAAAATTATTATATTATATTGATCTATTTCTTCAAATTTATATTGTTTTTAAAAACAAAAATTAACATTGTATTCGATACCATAAACAATTCATTCGATGCCATAAAAATGCATTCGATACCATAAACAATGCATTCGATACCATAAACTCATTTCATAACGTCGGCGTAAACAGTGCATAACGGTAACCAAACCGATTTGTGGGAGGTTATAGCTCTAAGACAGGGGTCGGGAACCTTTTTGTCTGAGAGAGCCATGGCCACCACATATTTTGAAAAGTAATTCTGTGAGAGCCATACATTATGTTTAAAACTAAAAATTCAAGTAAATGTGTGCATTTCGTGTAATTTCAACACTAAAAATGCAATAATTATGTCTATGAATTCTGTTTAATAACATTGTTATGCTGTTGCTAATCAAATATTGATATGCAATTAATATGTAGATCAAAGGAGTCTAAAGAAACATTTCTTTTTTATAATCGAACATTTGTCTGCGAGCCAGATGCAGCCATCAATAGAGCCACATCTGGCTCGCGAGCCATAGGTTCTCGACCCCTGCTCTAAGAGTTCTAGGACCCCTGGACAAGAGAGAATCAATGTTGTCAACTGATTGTTTCATATATTTTGTTGATGAATATATTATTTTTTTCCAATAATGGCATTAAATCAAAATGTGGTAAATAACACATTCTTGACCATGGTCAATTTCAGAGATATTATTGAACGTAAGCAAGGCACGTGTGTCATTACGTGTGACACAGATGGGCACTAATGGAATGTGCCAGACTACTATACGACGCCGGGTAGTGAAGATTCGGAGATTTCCAAACACCAATAATTACTTACTGTTGATGTGTGTTGATTGTTGTTAGAGATAATACGTACAGTTTGATGTTATCAATTAGCCAGAAATTATATCATTACTTTTGGCCTGAACAATTCACTTAATTATGAGGTGTCGGAGAAATTACAGTAATACATAGTGTATTTTATTTCTATTACTTTGTGTTTGTTTAGAGCACAGCGAGATGCTCGTTTTTGTTTTGTTTGTAGGAAGTTAACACATTTTTTTTTTTTCAAATGAAACAAGATTCAGTGCCCCTGCCGATGTTTATATCTAATGCTCAGTTCACGCGAGCAAATATTCGTCAACTTTCTTTTTGAACTCACTATGTTGTGTTAACAACAAGAAAAAAAAAACTTTGACGAAAATTTGATCGTGTGAACTGACCATAAGTAAACTTACAAGCGAACTAAACAAACACATAGTTTTACAGACAAATACAACTTTTCACTAATCTTTACAATAAAAAATATAATAAACTATATTTAGAAATGGAAAATTTATTATTAAAAAAATAAAATTAGATTAAAACAAATCCTATAAATAACCAAGCGGTCCATAAACATAATAAGAACTTTATATAACCAATTAATATTAAGGATTTCGAAAAAAATCCTGTACACTTAAACACAATGATGAATTGAAGAACAATATAAGAGAATATATAAAATAATCTCTAAATGATTCTTCCCAGAAAATTCCCAGATTCTTGCACACCGTAGCACACCAAGGCTTGATTGTCCGAGTGTTACGCCTGTGTACCGTCTTGCATGAATCACTGAACTTGTGTTGTTTTTTTTCCTTATTCAAGAAACCCGTTAACTTGTCCGCTCTTAGAATATTATGTAATCAAGTCGGGCGGGGTTGGACTGGAGCTCGGTTGGTTGAAATCGGTTGCCGAAGACAGTGGTTCCCAACCTATTGCAATTCTTAGGGCCCTGTGTGAATCCGTGTTTTCTGAAGGCGCCCTGTTAAAGTTCGCGCACGTAATTTGACGAAGTAACTATTTGTTAAAAACTAACCGGCTTGGTAAAAATAAATTTTAAAAAACATATATTAGGCCCGCGGCGCGCCATCTAGTGGCCACGGTAGATGATTCTGTAAATCACTAACAGTAACTCAAAGGTAAACTTATAATACATTAGGCAATTATACTTGTGACGGGTTATTGCCCTTACTTTTATTAATGTTTCAGCTCTTGGAAGCGTTTTGTACTTCATTGAAATATATATATTCATTAAATTATTTAATCATATGACCTTAACCATGGCCCACTGGATCCAGAGGGCCATGCCTTTAAAAAAACAAACAAAAAATAACCTCGCTTGCGTTTTTGTACAGTACTTAACTCCCCTCAAAATCAAATTGTAAATAAGGAAATAGTAATTTGGTTTAGCGATTTTTTAAATAGTTCGAACGCTGAGACCAAGCATTTTTGTTTGCCTTTGAAAACAAAGATCACTTTACTACACAATGCACTTGTAAGAAAATGTTAATGGAAAAAGCTTGTTAAATAAACTGGGGATGAACCAGACACAAACAAGGTCAAGGTTTCGCTCTGTTGTCCTTGCTCTTCTTTCGTTTCTTCAGTCACTGTAATGTTTATCACGGAGCTCCGAGGTGGAGGCCACCTCGGATTATTAATGTAAGAATAATTAAAATGAGATTAATTAATACACAAGGTACATTTGAGGGGACATAACTTAAAAAATAATGCAGGAGATACTTTTCTCACACATCAGTTTTCTTTTTGTTAAATTTTGTCCGAGAGAAATTCGCAGTTTTTGTTTGATAATTTAATTATTTTTTCGATATTTTATATTCGTATTTTTCTTTTCGTATAGAAAGTGAAAACAAAAATGTGGGTAGGCAAGATGGCATTGATAACCATCTTAGTGCTAAAACAAAGCAATACAATTTACGGAAGAAATAATGTGTAAATTCGTATTTATGTAAACAATCTTTTCTTTTTCTGCTAAAACTAGTCCAATAAAGCTATGAAGCAATAAAATAATATGTCTACATAAGTATCATGGGAATAGACGTTTAAAAATCATGTTTAAATTACAATGATATAAAGTTTATGAATGTGAAAACAAGCCAACTACCGTCATCACGTGTCTACGCAATACAAAAAGCAGTGTACTACGTCACTGAGTGATCATGATCTCTCATGGAACACACGTTTATTAGTAGTATGTACTGTACTCATCCAATGGATTGATATAAAGAACTAACCTCAATCATCCACGACCCAAAGTCAATAAAAATGCCACTAAAAATGTAAATAATTTTTTCCTCTCGACCAGATGAATTATGTTTTCATCAGTCTCTGAAAGTTCTTATTTATATATAAGGGCAATTGACAAATACTTAGGAATAAATTATAGGGCATAAGGAATATTGACAGGCATTACCACACATCTAGTTACAGAAATAGTTTTAACTGTGCAAAAAATGAGGAATTAAGTTGTTGTTGTCTTGATTAAACTCAGGATTTGTAGCGGATCTTTCCATCCAAAGTTGTCCAGGGTAGCAGTCAAGAAATAAGATAATTGGTTGGATTGGCCGTTATAGAAGAAAACGAGACGTTTTTCAACCAATCAGACTATCTGCCATCATAAGCCAATCAGAAAAAGTCTCCCATTATCAGCCAATCAGAAAAAGTCTCCCATCATCATTGCCCACATAAATGGATTTCCTCCACCGAATCCACCAGCTTGGTTGGGGACATTTTGATTCTGGACTGTGGGAATAAAGAGAAGGTATTATTTTAAATTTAAACAATTTATTGCAGTCAACATTATTGTCATGTGATAAAACTATGTGCCAATAGAGATAGAGATAAAGAGTGAGAGATACGCACATATACAGAGAAAAAGAGAACGAAAGATGGAGAGAGCGAGAAAAATAGAGAGATAAAGAAAGAGAAAGAAAGAAAGAGAGAGAGAGAGAGAGAGAGAGAGAGAGAGAGAGAGAGAGAGAGAGAGAGACCTTAATCGATCATGAATAACATTTCGTTCACAAATAGTTCTGTCTTTTCGAGCATTTCTGTCTCTTCTTGTTGTGATCAGCCAACATTAGCCGGCATGATTTCCTAATCTCCAACATAAAGAATGTAATCTCAAACGATGGGCCACACCACTAGAGGTGGCCTAGTTGTAAACTAACACAAAACTCCAGTCAATGTGATGTAAATTGTTTAGTTAGAGATAATTTTTTACAGAAATACTATACTTCCTAAACATTTTGGGCAAATGTATACATACATGAACTAACTGGCTAAACCTACGGCACGCGAACACTTTAGTGCTACAAAAGACATCTACAGTTTAACACTTAAATGAACTTAATTAAATACCTAACAAATAAATGCTGATTAATCAGTTACCAAAGTAGATATGAATGTCCAGTTAATCTCAAAAAAATAAATAGCTGCCACAATATGTCTTCGAATACCTTCGCATTTGCTAAACTGGTTGAGGGCAAAGCCAGGAGCACAGGAAGTGCAGACATAATCACCGACCAGGTCAGTGCAAGCGTTGGGAGCACATCCAGTAATTGGCATCAAACACTCGTTCATATCTGAAATAGTTGGCCGTGATGGTCAATATAGAAGAAGATGTAATTTCTATTCTCACAAAACATAATGCTTTCCGTGGTGAACTGGTTTTTATTTTCTGAACTCAAATATTTTTTATTGCAGTAGAGCTACAATTTTTGTTTGTTGGTTTCTGTCGCTGACGTGTAAGATAAGTGAGTATATGACCTATAAGGTATGTGACTATGAAGGCTGTGTGTCTAAAAGTAGTCTATACCTCCACACATGGGTACTTCATTAAATATAGTCTTACCTCCACACATGGGTACTTCATTAAATGTAGTCTATACCTCCACACATATGTACTTCACTAAATGTAGTCTATACCTCCACACATGGGTACTTCACTAAATGTAGTCTATACCTCCACACAAGGGTACTTCACTAAATGTAGTCTATACCTCCACATATGGGTACTTCATTAAATGTAGTCTATACCTCCACACATGGGTACTTCATTAAATGTAGTCTATACCTCCACACATGGGTACTTCATTAAATGTAGTCTATACCTCCACACATGGGTACTTCATTAAATGTAGTCTATACCTCCACACATGGGTACTTCATTAAATGTAGTCTATACCTCCACACATGGGTACTTCATTAAATGTAGTCTATACCTCCACACATGGGTACTTCATTAAATGTAGTCTATACCTCCACGCATGGGTACTTCATTAAATGTAGTCTTTACCTCCACACATGGGTACTTCATTAAATGTAGTCTATACCTCCACACCTTCATTAAATGTAGTCTATACCTCCACACATGGGTACTTCACTAAATGTATACATCAACACATATGTACTTCACTAAATGTAGTCTATACCTCCACACATGGGTACTTCATTAAATGTAGTCTATACCTCAACACATGGGTACTTCATTAAATGTAGTCTATAGCTCCACACATGGGTACTTCATTAAATGTAGTCTATACCTCCACACGAGGGTACTTCATTAAATGTAGTCTATACCTCCACACATGGGTACTTCATTAAATGTAGTCTATACCTCCACACATGTGTACTTCAATAAATGTAGTCTATACCTCCACACATTCGTACTTCACTAAATCTTTACCTCAACACATGGGTACTTCACTAAATGTAGTCTATACCTTCACACATGGATACTTCACTAAATGTAGTCTATACCTCCACACATGGGTACTTCACTAAATGTATACCTCAACACATAGGTACTTAACTAAATGTATACCTCAACACATAGGTACTTCACTAAATGTATACCTCAAGACATAGGTACTTCACTAAATGTATACCTCAACACATAGGTACTTCACTAAATGTATACCTCAACACATAGGTACTTCACTAAATGTATACCTCAACACATAGGTACTTCACTAAATGTATACCTCAACACATAGGTACTTCACTAAATGTATACCTCAAGACATAGGTACTTCACTAAATGTATACCTCAAGACATAGGTACTTCACTTAATGTATACCTCAAGACATAGGTACTTCACTTAATGTATACCTCAAGACATAGGTACTTCACTTAATGTATACCTCAAGACATAGGTACTTCACTAAATGTATACCTCAAGACATAGGTACTTCACTAAATGTATACCTCAACACATAGGTACTTCACTAAATGTATACCTCAAGACATAGGTACTTCACTTAATGTATACCTCAAGACGTAGGTACTTCACTTAATGTATACCTCAAGACATAGGTACTTCACTAAATGTATACCTCAACACATAGGTACTTCACTAAATGTATACCTCAACACATAGGTACTTCACTAAATGTATACCTCAACACATAGGTACTTCACTAAATGTATACCTCAACACATAGGTACTTCACTAAATGTATACCTCAACACATAGGTACTTCACTAAATGTATACCTCAACACATAGGTACTTCACTAAATGTATACCTCAACACATAGGTACTTCACTAAATGTATACCTCAAGACATAGGTACTTCACTAAATGTATACCTCAAGACATAGGTACTTCACTTAATGTATACCTCAAGACATAGGTACTTCACTTAATGTATACCTCAAGACATAGGTACTTCACTTAATGTATACCTCAAGACATAGGTACTTCACTAAATGTATACCTCAAGACATAGGTACTTCACTAAATGTATACCTCAACACATAGGTACTTCACTAAATGTATACCTCAAGACATAGGTACTTCACTTAATGTATACCTCAAGACGTAGGTACTTCACTTAATGTATACCTCAAGACATAGGTACTTCACTAAATGTATACCTCAACACATAGGTACTTCACTAAATGTATACCTCAACACATAGGTACTTCACTTAATGTATACCTCAACACATAGGTACTTCACTAAATGTATACCTCAACACATAGGTACTTCACTAAATGTATACCTCAACACATAGGTACTTCACTAAATGTATACCTCAAGACATAGGTACTTCACTAAATGTATACCTCAAGACATAGGTACTTCACTTAATGTATACCTCAAGACATAGGTACTTCACTTAATGTATACCTCAAGACATAGGTACTTCACTTAATGTATACCTCAAGACATAGGTACTTCACTTAATGTATACCTCAAGACATAGGTACTTCACTTAATGTATACCTCAAGACATAGGTACTTCACTTAATGTATACCTCAAGACATAGGTACTTCACTTATTGTATACCTCAAGACATAGGTACTTCACTTAATGTATACCTCAAGACATAGGTACTTCACTAAATGTATACCTCAAGACATAGGTACTTCACTAAATGTATACCTCAACACATAGGTACTTCACTAAATGTATACCTCAAGACATAGGTACTTCACTAAATGTATACCTCAAGACATGAACCCTGTTCAAGTTAGCGCGGCATTAGTTTTTAAAGTTAACCAAGGGGCATAAGCTGTTCCTACCTTCACAATAGTTAGGATCCGTCGAGCTAACCTGGAAGCCAGGGTTACACAGGCAGCCGTACTGACCAGAGGGCAGCATCTGACACTGACCGTTGACACATTGTTGTGCCCCTTGGATCAGATTACACGGAGGGATGGCTGGGAATAAATAAAAGATTGAATATTAAAATTTTCCTGCTGCTGATCCTCACATGATAAATGGTTACTTTCAATATAGTTTAGGTAGAAAGCGATTTTTGCGAGGTCGAAATACTTAAAGACAGTGGTTCTCAACATGTGACCTTTTATGTGCACCGCCGCTATTCCGGCAAATAAATAAATAAAAAAAAAAAAGAATAATGAAACGTGTGACATTTGAAAAATAAAAAAAAATTCCACTGGGTCATCTGAACAAAACGTTGACCACTAAGCTGACGCCGTCAACGTTTTTAATGTTACTTGTGTGCTTGGTCTCTGGACAGCAGATAGGTTTGCAAAATAATGTAGTTAGGACCGGCCCGTTGGGGGGGTGGGTGGGGGTGGGGGTGAGTGAGAAGGTAACAGTCTTTAAATACATAATGCTCTAAATTATTTATTGATAAACGAGACAACTTTAAAAAATAAGGGCGGTCAGTCGCTGACCTGGACAGGAGAAGGTGGGACGCATGTCAGAAAGTCTTTTTAAAAAAAAGGGTGGGACGCTGGGCCATGTTATATAGATGTAAGTAAAGAATCCCACCTGGATCGGTTTTTAGAAGAAAAAAATCACACTTGAATAGTTCTAGTCCTATCCTTCAATTATCCTTGGCCTTGGGATTTCTTGCGTTGTGTTATTGTATGTTATAATTATGTTTCAAACACTTCAAGTTACTGTTATTCAATCATTTCCTAACAATGAGGTTTAAAAGATGATGTTCTACTCACGATGACAAACCAATGGGTTTGATGGATCTCTCATGTAGTGTTGGTTACACGTGCATCCAAACTGTCTGGTGGATTGCACCTGACACATCCCGTTGATACATTGCTTAGCGAGGGGGTCGCAGGTACCTGCAGGCAAATTTAACGTGTTCATAAGGGCAGAGAATGTGTACGAAGGTAAAGTACACACGAGAAAACCTCACTGGAGAGGTTAACTACTGTGATCAAGTAAACATTTCAAGTAACGTCTGCCCACGTGACAATTAAACAGTTGAGTGGTTCGAAAAATTGGTACTACTCTCAGTTATGGTGTGCTCCTATCTTGACGGCTTGTGGCCTCATTTTGTCGAATTGGCTTATAAACTTAGAGCAGGAGATATTTTTTAGCTGAGATTACTAGCGACAGTATCAGATGAAATACTATCCAATATGTTAGTTGATTCCATTTACTAGTCGAGATACAATGCCATTTAGTTGATTCTATTTACTAGTCGAGATACAATGTCATTTAGTTGATTCCATTTACTAGTTGAGATACAATGTCCTTTAGTTGATTCCATGTACTAGTTGAGATACAATGTCATTTATTTGATTCCATGTACTAGTCGAGATACAATGTCATTTAGTTTTTACCATGTACTAGATGAGATACAATGTCATTACCATGTACTAGTCGAGATAAAATGACATTTAGTTTTTACCATGTACTAGTTGAGATTCAATGTCATTTAATTGATACCATGTACTAGTTGAGATAAATGTCATTTAATTGATACTATAAACTAGTTGAGATACAATGTCATTTAATTGATACCATGTACTAGTTGAGATACAATGTCATTTAATTGATACCATGTACTAGTTGAGATAAATGTCATTTAATTGTTACTATAAACTAGTTGAGATACAATGTCATTTAATTGAGGTAACCTTGGACTTGAAGAGCAAAACTACTTACTAACATCACTAATGTTTACTCTCTGTCAAATAAGTTTATTATTTTTTTTTTAGTTGCTAATAAGTGAGTGAGTAAGGAATGAATTTTAACGTCCAAGCTACGCACATATTTACTATATACTCAATTTTTTGAAGCCCTCAAGCGACCTATTGCATATTTTTAAAAAAGAAAACGAACCTCGAGGGTTCGGCACCCACAGGTTGAAAACCACTGATCTAAATAGATGCAATAAATAGAATAGTTATAATTTTGTGGGTAAATTCTCAAATAAAAAAAGTTCTTTAAACCTGAAATTTGTATTACCTCAAGAATTGTATTGACATTTCTTACATAATTTACCTTGTGCATTGGATGGAGAGTACTTCAATCCTATGATCACAATTATCAGTAAACGCATTCTGCTCGAAGTGTGCATGGTTATCAAAGGATAAAAAAAACAAAAACAACGACAACTCTTATCTATTCACTTGCCCCGGTCACCAAGAGTTATGTTTTCTAAATGAGGCGCAAGTTGAACCAAAATGATTCGGTTGATCTTAACATTACATAAGTGTCCAATGTGATTTCCCCACAAAACCGGTTGTTTGAGGTGTGACTCCAGATGAGCCTTGCTAATTATTTACCCCAATTTATATACCTGGCAAATGTCAGCAAAATGTTTATTATTTACGTCACGTTTATGACCCTGGCATACGAGAGTTGAGACAAACAAGGGAATGCAGGCATTTTGGGAAACAGCTCTGAATGTGACAGGATGTACGTTGTGTAAATAACATCCGTTTAATGAAACTATTCGAGTAAAGGCAGAACAGTTGGCGTATTTAAATGTTGCTTTATGGACAAGTTCAACAGCTTGCTAATACTGAACATCTTCATGAGCATTGATAAAGCTTCAAAAATTGAAGCCATATATTTGTATGAGAAATGCAGTCGAGATCGTCATTCTAGGATTGGCCTAGTTAGCCACTCGTCGATGTGTAGGACTACATAGCTACTCCATCGTCTCGCGAAGACGGAAGGATGCCAAATAATATATATACATATATATTATGAAAGATTTCAATAAAACTTTTGTCATAACTAAATATTTTCATGGACACCAAAAATCTGAAGGAAAAAAAAAGTTCTGTTAGAATTCAACACTTTGTTGCTGACTTCTTAAAAGATGAAATAACATATTCATGATCTGACAATATATTTGCTCGGTAAATGCTTCAAATAAAATTGGATAATTGCACTGAATTTTATTATTCTGGACCACGAAAGTACTTCACTTTCCCAAGTGTTTTAAACTGTTGTCTTCCACGCCTGTGATAGTATGTGTGTTGACCTAATTTTTGCTTCAACATAGAGATGCAGCGTCTACAAATTAACGCCCATTTTTTGTTTTGATATTGTCGAATAGAGTTATTCTTTTCACTGTGGAAGATTTAGGGTAGTTCATTATACGTTAAAAAAGAATTTTAGAGATTTAATCATCGTCCACATAATGGAGGAAGCTCTGTTGTCTGGCATTAACTAAAGCTCAAGCTAATGGATCTAGAGGTTCAAATAAGAACTGGGAAAAAGATTTGCAAAGAAAATTATAAGACTTAGAAATTATGAGTAGCCACAGTGCTATGGAAAATAGACCTACGGCTACTATCAGTCGGATTTTGGTACAGTTAAATTGACAAAGTTGATCCCTAAATATGCAGGTAAGGATATTGACCTGTGTGTTTCAAAGTTTGAACTAACTGCACAAAGATTTAAAATACACAAGAAAATCTTTGGTCTACCTATTGCAGCCGGCTCTTACTCGTCGATCAGCCGAAGCTTTGTGTCGAACGCTGAACAGCGTGAGGACTTTAAGGTTGTAGAGTCATTACTACTTAAGGCTTATGAATGTTTCCCCGAAGAATAGACCAACATGTTTAGGGGATTGTTAAAAGTTGATGGCCAAATTCGTGTCAAGTTTCTTTGTACAAGAAACGGAACCACTCCTGGAAAAGTGGCGAAGAACATCAACGCAGAACTTCAATAAATTGAAGAACTTCGAAATGATGGAGCAGTTCAAGAATTGTGTTCTTGTGGACGAACGGGTACATAATGCAGACTGATTATTCTCCTTTCCAGGTGTCCATAAATACTTCTCAGAGGTTTGTCCCGACTCATCGTGCAGTTTTATTCTGAACCATAAGGCTAGTTTTAGTGACTCCAGCAAAGTTCCTGCTTCGACTGCGAGTTTTATGAGCTTGTCACCAAGATCCCGTTGCTCCGAGAAGAGGCCTACTCCAGAGGGCTTTCTACCAAGGACATTACAAGTCTTGATGACTCAGAGCTTTACTTCTTCTACCCTAGCCAAATCTTCTCAAAACTCCGACAATAGTTTCCCTACCACGTCCAAACTTCCACATCAGAAAATATTGATATTCATCAAGATTTTAAGCCTTTTAAATCAGAAGGGATTGTGTCACTGCCAGGTGATTCTTCCAGAACACGACCTGTCACGATTTTTACGAGACGCGGGTTCTTCACAGCCCTTACTACTTGAGGGTATACTTCCTTTGTCTGAAACGACTGCTACTGGAGCAGCATCCTGTTATGAGCCATAGAGATGGGTTGCATCTTCTCTATCTCAAGTCAGATCTAGTCTCCGGACTTGTGGTTGTGGGTGTCCGACCAACGTTACCACTGCACGACATCTTGTTACTATATACTAGGAAATGAATTAGGTGGTGGGAAGGTGATAGCCGAACCCATCATTTCTCATGAAACTTGTTTTACTAAATCTCAAGATAAAGATCCAGAATTCTACCCAGCATGTGCTGATACCAGCGCCATCATGTGTTCAAAGATCTTCAAGAAAGAGAGTTCTTCAAAAGTTAAAAAAGTCAATCCTAAAATGGATCAGGGAGCTGGTAGAAGGCTTAAGTGAGGAGAGGGAAGAAAGGGGGCTTAAGTGAGGAGAGGAAAGAAAGGGGGCTTAAGTCAGGAGAGGGAAGAAAGGGGGCTTAAGTGAGGAGAGGGAAGAAAGGGGGCTTAAGTGAGGAGAGGGAAGAAGGGGGGCTTAAGTGAGGAGAGGGAAGAAAGGGGGCTTAAGTGAGGAGAGGGAAGAAAGGGGGCATAAGTGAGGAGAGGGAAGAAAGGGATCTGGTAGAAGGCTTAAGTGAGGAGAGGGAAGAAAGGGATCTGGTAGAAGGCTTAAGTGAGGAGAGGGAAGAAAGGGATCTGGTAGAAGGCTTAAGTGAGGAGAGGGATGAAAGGGATCTGGTAGAAGGCTTAAGTGAGGAGAGGGAAGAAAGGGATCTGGTAGAAGGCTTAAGTGAGGAGAGGGATGAAAGGGATCTGGTAGAAGGCTTAAGTAAGGAGAGGGAAGAAAGGGGGCATAAGTGAGGAGAGGGAAGAAAGGGATCTGGTAGAAGGCTTAAGTAAGGAGAGGGAAGAAAGGGATCTGGTAGAAGGCTTAAGTAAGGAGAGGGAAGAAAGGGATCTGGTAGAAGGCTTAAGTGAGGAGAGGGAAGAAAGGGATCTGGTAGAAGGCTTAAGTGAGGAGAGGGAAGAAAGGGATCTGGTAGAAGGCTTAAGTGAGGAGAGGGATGAAAGGGATCTGGTAAAAGGCTTAAGTGAGGAGTGGGATGAAAGGGATCTGGTAGAAGGCTTAAGTGAGGAGAGGGAAGAAAGGGATCTGGTAGAAGGCTTAAGTGAGGAGAGGGAAGAAAGGGATCTGGTAGAAGGCCTAAGTGAGGAGAAGGAAGAAAGGGGTCTTTTATAGGGTTTAAGGAAGGAGACTGTGGGTTTTATTTCATAAACAGTCGGGGTTGAAGAGGGAGGGGTATGGGAAAATGTGCGTGTGGGTTCTTGAGAGGTTGGAGGGAAATAGCGTTGAAGAGGTTTGTTGGAAAGAACGTGGAAGATGTAGGATGGAAAGAACGTGGAAGATGTAGGATGGAAAGAACGTGGAAGAGTTTCGTAGGAAAGAATGTGGAAGATGTCGATAGTAAAGAACGCGGAAGAGCGTGTTATTAAAGAGCGTGGAAGAGGTTGATGGCTACGAAAGAGCGCTAAAGAGGTTGGCTGATAAAAAGCATACGAGAGAGGTAAAGGGATACTCGTATTATATACGGTAAATAAGTTAAGTTGCCGAGGGTTTAAAAGTAAGGATATATTGTAAGGGATGAGAACAGAAATGAGAGGATCTAGGGTGAGAGAGTTGGGATAGATGTAAGTTTCATGTAAGGAGAAGGTTAAGGCATGGGTGAAAAGGTTAGAAAAGATAAGAGGAGGTAAGCTGGTTATGTCATGGGGGAGATTGCATTAGATAATAACTATTTGTAGGGAGACCTTTGTTGGGCCAATTATAATCAACCTACTGTTAAAAAAGGTAAGAGAACGTCTTGCACATTAGTCCATGTTATTGTGCTGTAGTTTGTAAATGTCGACGGAGCTACGTGTTTCCCAGCTACGTGTTTCCCAGCTACCTTTTTTTCCAGCTACGTATTTTCCAGCTACTTCACTGACAACAATCAGAACAACATCACGAACCAGGATAAAACTTATTGTAAGATGAACTTGTGAGTATGTCGTCAGTTCGTCGAGTTGTTTCTCAACTTGCCCGTGATACGCCATTACCTAGGACAGTGGTTCTCAGAGTGTTTCTATTTTCGGCGCCCTTGCTGAATCAATGTTTTTGCCCTACGTCGTAGTCTTCAAGGTACACCGCGTACAGCAAATATTACTTTTTTTTTAAATTATAAGATCACTTAAGTTTACATAAAACACGTATTATAGATGACAGCGGACCATCTACTAACACTAGACCAGAGTTTCCCAAACTTTTATGTGGCATGCACCCTCCCCCCCCCCCTTCCCAACTAGATAGACAGAAACAAATCTAAGCATAACCCAATACAAAACAGTCTCACGATTTTAAAAAACAACAACATTTATTGACTAAGTTAAAGAATACACAAAATAAATAACCGAGTTGTTGTTCGTAAACAGTGTATAGGACCTTATAGGGCCTTATATAGATATATGTTTATATAGAGAGAGATTATATATAATGACAAAGATTCTTGCATGATTTCAAAAATAGCGTTAATGATACAAATTTTTAAAAAAGAAATACAATTGAAGATAGAGCATTCCCGAAATTCCAGATTTAATTTTCGACACAACTGTGGAGTCGGTGTAACACGAGCATTCACGACGTTTGAGCTCTGGTCTCCACACTGGCATGACGGAGCTCGTTTGTTTTTCTAATCCCTCAACATGTCTCAGCTCCTGGCTACAATCTGGCCTGTCATAACTTGGGGTGTGTGAGGTGTGCAAAAAGGGGAGGGGTGGCGTGTCTGAAAACATGTTTGTTTTTGTTCGTGTCATTAAACTGGACTTCAACTATGCGCCGTTCTCCATTTAAACCAAATGTTTAGTTACTAGTTACTGTTGTTACAGAAAGAACTGTCTCCTCGTGCTGAGTTTATTGAAAGTTTGACTCATTGTAAACATTGGCGACATCTCATGGAAGACATGCTTGTAACAAAACAAAGTGTAAAATATAATTGGGTTGAAATAAAACTAGATATAGGATGTTAATCAGAGCTCTGCGACCGATGTGCCGC